CATGATGCATAACAAAATTTCTTATCCCTTATTTTTATTCTGTGTATGCCTTTGCTTTTAAAAACACATTTTTTATAAGCAACTAATTATGACAGGGAGTCCTGGGTCTGAGATTGAATGTGATACTGCCCTAAGGCAGGAGGCTTAATGAGAGGGATTTTGAGACTGTCTTTACTGGTTTGGAAGAATGCAAGAATATTAAGGACTCGAGGTGGGACAGTTCAGGAACGAAGTCACTAATTGGAGAAGGGTACTTTGGATATGCACCAGTAGAACATATATGCGTGTGAAATTACAAAATGTTGGTCTCATTTTTCATCACCGACCACTAGGTGGTGCAGTGGATACAGTGTTGGACTTGGAGTCAGAAAGACGAGTTTCGATCCGACCTCAGATATGCACTAGTTATGTGACCCTGGGAAAGACCCAACCTCACTCAACCTCAGCTTCCTTATTTGTAAAAATGGGTATAGTAATAGCACTTACCTCACAGAATTGTAGAATCAGATGAGATAATCTGTATTAAGTGATTTACAAACCTTAGGGCAATATATGGGCAACTAAGTGACACAGTGGCTAGACTGCTGGGCCTGGAGTTAGGAAGACACTCTCTAGCCGTATGACCCTGGGAAAGTCATTTCACCCTGTTTGCCTCAGTTTCCTCATCTGTAAAATGAGCTGGAGAAAGCAATGGCAAACCACTCCAGCATCTTTACCAAGAAAACCCCAAAGGGGTAAATAAGAGTCAGATACAACTGAAATGACTGAATAACAACAACAAAAGCAATGTATAAATGCTAGCTTTTATTACGGTATCCATATTTTTCATAGGGGAGCAGAATGAGAAGCTGGGATGGAAAGGCAAGGGTTGACTAACCTGGAGATTTGCCCCCCACAGGAATGACTTCACAAGGTTGACTAGAAGGACCTTTTTCTACTTCTTATCTTCTAATTCCTTTGAAATAGAAAATTAAAAGAACCAAATGTCTTGCCTTCATACAACTCCCTGTGTTTTTTGGGGAAGACATGGTAGAGGGGAGGGGTTGCTGGATGCATCCTTATCCCAAACCCTAATGCAAAATCCAACTCTGTCCTTAAGCTGATCCTCTCCTCTTTGGACTAAGGCTGGGATTATGAAGGAGTACTCTTTCCCCAAGGGGGAATAGACTCTATAAGCATTGGATGTAGAAGAAGCAGCCACAACCCAGGATTCCTTTCATACTTTAGCTTAATATGGCAGTGAGAAAATAAAAGCCCACTCTAGAAGTATTTAAGCCTTTGAAATGGGACCCATAGAGCCCAGAAATGTGTTAGATGTGTGAAAGAGCAGGGAAAGAGACCTTCAAGGATAACAAAAATGTCTAAATGCTCTACTCCTTGTAAGGGAAGCAGGAGGAGACAGCAAATAGAGTCACATTAATGCTTGTGGCAGAGTTTAGGACGATGATTCTCCTGTAGCCTACTCTTTTACCTTACTTTATCTCATTCTTATCCATGTTGATGGGAGTCAATCCTCACCTTTTGTGGGGGTAACATTCCTAGAAAATGATACAAAAGTCAGAACTACAAATGTTGACACTTTGAACCTATGGGGAATAGGGTTGGGTTCCCACAACCATCAAAAACTGTAACCTTTCTCTAGAGACTGCTGAAAATACTTTCCTGCATAAAATTCTTTATAACAAAACATTAGTTCTGATAACATTCAGTTTTTCTGACATAGTCAACCATGACAAAAACCCATAGAATGCAGTGCACAAAATAAAATTGGCAACATGCCAAAACATTTTTTTCTTGCTAGTAATTTTCTAGAATTCTGTGGCTTTTTGTGTTAACATCTCAACAAAAAAACCCGATTGATTTCAGACAATAGTCATTTTTCATAACATATTAAATCTACAGTACCATAACTTGTTATTTGGTCATTTTCAGTCATGTCTGACTCTTTGACCACATTTGGGGTTTTCTTGGCAAAGGTATTGGAGTGATTTGCCATTTCCTTCTCTAGCTCATTTTACAGATGAGGAAAATGAGGCAAACAGGGTTTAGTGACTTGCCCAGAGTCACAAAGCTAATAAGTGGTTGAGGTCAGATTTAAACTCAGGTTTTCCTGATTCCAAGTCTGACACTCTATCTGCTGTACCACTTAGCTGCCCTAGTACCACAAAAATCCTGTGCAGCAAATAAAAAAATTTAAAACTAAAATGTTTCAAAACCTGAATCTTAACTCCCATGCCTTAACTCAGATGGAGGTGTGAAGGCATTATACTGCATATTATATTGCCATAAACCTGTCTACCTTGGCCACCTTGAAAACCAAGAGAGAAGTTGATAAGACTTTCATTGCTACTATCAGAAGCCCAAGTTAGTAAGGTCTTGACATCACCTTTGAATCCAAAGGACTCTGCTTTGGGGGCATAATTGTAACACAAAACTTGAGTTTTAAAGGCAAACGATGAAAATACAGAACACATGCATGGAGAACTCTTTACAACGATAGGGAGGACAAGACCAGTGAAGCATGTAGTAGGAAAGCAGCCACTCCACTACCTCTAAGGCATCATGCCTCTCACTTTTTCTCTACTATGCATAGCAGCTAATATGCGTGTTGTCAATGCAAAAAGGAAAATGAGGTTACTAATCATGGGAACGCTTGATGTCAAAAGTTAAATGCACGAATGTTGAAGACTGACAGTATATTCTGATATTTTCCCACAAACTATTAAAAGTAAAACATAATAACAACAACAATAGCAAACATTTAGGTAGCACTTACTATGTGTCAGGCAATGTGCTAAACACATTAAGATTATCTCATTTGATCCTCACAATAACCTGGGGAAATAGGTGCTATTATTATCATCCCTATTTTACTGATGGGGAAACTAAGGCAATAACAGGTTAAATGCCTTGCCCAGGGTCACCCAGCTAGGAAGTGTCTTAGGCTGGAATTGAATTCAGGTCTTCCCAACTCCAGGTCTGGTACTCTACCCATTTTGCCTCCCCCTCCCCACCCCATTCCAGCTGCCACATACGCACATAGCCTCATCTCTATCATTAATCAATTAATTTTGAGCAGCCACTTCATTGATTAAATAAACTAGAGAAACCTGTTTTTTTGTAAGCTTTGTTATCTCTTTTAAAATAATACTGATGCTTAATATTTTGGGCTTAAATAAACAATAATGTTGTCATCTATATGCTTTGTTAAAGTTACCACACATAAAAACAAACAATTATAATATATCAGCTTTTAGAAAGATTGCAGCCAAACTGGCTCCTAACATTGCTACTGTTGTCTTCTCAGTTCTAGAAACACTGTCCCCACACTAAACTCTCTTGCTGTTGACTTGTTTCAGTTGTGTCCAACTATTCATGACCCCACTGGAAATTTTCTTGGCAAAGGTGCAGGAGTGGTTTGCCATTTCCTTCTCCAGCTCATTTTATAGATGAGGAAACTGAGGCAAACAGGGTGAAGTGACTTGCCCAGGGTCACACAGCTAGTAAGTGTCTGAGGCTAGATTTGAACTTGGATCTTCCTGAGTCCAGGCCTGATGCTCTATCCACTGCACTGCCTACCTGCCAGCTGCCTGCTTTTAGGATGTCCGTTAAAAACTCTTCTGAAGAATAATATTCACAATATTTCTTTATGAGATGAGTTAAAACCATTTTCTCAGGAAAGATATTTTTCTTGTCTCCAGATGAGAGTTAAACTGACATATCTCAAGATTTTATTCCTTCTTAAAGATAACATTATCAGTGTCTGTAGTCTCTGTGGGAGAAGCTACTGAGTTCAGTTGAATTCTAGCCCTGTTGGAAGTTGGATTATAATAAACATTTTTTTCAGAATGTGATATTATAATGCATTTTCTCTCATAATATGCCGTAAGTAATAAATTGTTTGAAGCTTACTCCCAGTCATGGTGTCACAGAATTGTTGACTGGTCCACTACAAATTTGGGTTATCTAATCTCCACTGGGGCCTCATTGCTACATGACAATCCACTTACTTCTCCTTGAACAATTTTCTATCACATTCTGCAAGGCAACTGTTTCAAACCTTCTCTTCTCAAGCCACCAAGCCTAAGGTTACATTTTGGATTAATCTCATTGGAAAAAGAAGCCAATTTGGTCTTGCACAAAAAAAAAAAAAAGAAGAAGAAAGAAGAAAAAAGTTGTCAGATGGCCAACCTCCTGGTGACATTTCTCGCTCTGTCATTAGCCAGGCTGGCACTCAGGAAATAGACTTGGCTAGTTCCTGGAGCCATACTCAAAGTCTTTTCAGGATAGGTTAGCGTGGCAAAGTTGGCATTCCAACGGTATAACCTTCAACAACCAAGGGTCACTCACACGTCATGACTGGGCATCTGTCAGAATAGGACTTTATAAAGTGGAGTTACAGGCCATCAAGAAGAGCACCAATATAAGATTTATTTAAAAAAATCAAAGTGCTGTTCTGCTTTGGAAAGAATACTGGAGTAAAGGCCAAGAATGTAGGTTTTTAGTCTTTGCTTTGCAACTAACAAGCCATGACTTTGGCCCAATTATTTGGGCCCTCTGCGACCCTCAGTTTCATTATATATAAAAGGGAGGGTTGAATGAGATTATCATAGGTTCATATATCTAGAGTAGGAAGTCTCTAATGGTTACCTAGTCCAACTCCTTCCTATAAAAAAATGAGGAAACTGAGGTATAGAGAAGTTAAATGATTTGTTCAAGGTCACACTGTTAGTAAGTGGAGTTGCTGGGAATTGAACCCAGGTCCTTTGGTTCCCAATCTGGCCTGCTTTCCAGTGTCTGCCCTTCAATTTATAATGTTCTAGGAGTGTGTGATCTTTTTATCCTTGAGCTATGGATGATACCCACCCTCAGAGTCTCACTAAGTACAGAGCTGTGTCTTTGCTTTCTGGGCCTATTGAGAAGAAACACATAACCTCTTTCCTAAAGAATTCATCACTTTATTGGAGGACTATTTTTCATCTTCCTTTCATGTCAGAGAGAGGTCTAAGATCAAATTATCCACCGCTGTCACATCATGAGATCACATCTCTACACTTTCTTAGCCCTGCATGCCAGGTGATAAGAGCTCAAGTCATTCTATTTTAATTTCTAAAGGCCCATAGGGCATCTCTTGCCAAGTGCTAACCCTCATAGTCATTATAAGTCTAGCTAAATGTTTCACATCTATAGACATCTCTCTCTACACTCAAGGATTTTCTGGATCTTTGATACCCAAGATGTGCAGGTAAGAATATCTCACCCAAGGAAAATGTTTTTTATTAAGAAGGTCTATTCTCCTGAGATCAGCCTTTTTCCCCCAGTCCCAGGTACAGGCCAGAGAAACTTATTGGGAAAAACAGGGTTAAGGATGAGGTTAATGTTTAGTTTAGGGTTTGGTGTGCAATGAATGACTCCATCTTCCATTATATGGGGAATTCCCTCAAAGGGTAAGTGACAGACTCAGGCCATCAGGATTCCCATTTTTCTATTGCAGAAGAAGATGAGGAAGAGGTAAAGGTCCTTCCACATGCCCTTGTGAAGTTGTTCCTGTGGACAAAGATCTTTGGGTAAGTCTCCTCTCATTTTCCAATTCCCATTCTCCCCACCATCCATGCTAGTGAGCCATAGAAAGTAATGAAGACAATGAGAATGGACTTGTACGATTGCTTACACGCATATGCACATGTGTGCATGCACACACACACACACACACACACACACACACACAATATGCAGCCTCTCTGTTACCTTCCCAAAGAACTCTTGCCTACTCAGTGACTTCCTTTCTTTACCATCCCACCCTGTGAAGGCCTTTGGGTGGGGGTTCCTTTACTTTGTAATACATTCCATGCTATTGTATATCCATCTTCATCCTTAACACCATAATCATATTGTAATCCTCACCATTCCACAGTACTTAAAAAACATCTGTGATTCTATCAGTGTGGGTAACTGCTCTACCAATACCAGTTGCAGAGCCTCCACATTTCATTGAGAATTTTTGAGCCCCAGCACACATCAGTGGAGTGATCTAATTTTGTTTTGTCTACCAGGGTTAACTTAGGTTGCAACAAGTGAGGTGCAATGTGATGGACTGCACCAGCAGTCAGTCCACCACTGGAAAAGCACTAGGCTAAGTTCTGAAGGAGAGAAGAAGGAACAGAATGGAGAGCGTGCTGATTTTACTAGGTGACTTCTGGAGTTGTTTTGAGCTCTGAGATTTGGAGGTTCTATTTGGAGAGGGATTTCCTCCTAGCAGTACTGCAACTTGATTGGAATGACATCACCATCACTAGCATCAGCATAACCATTAGCTGCAGGACCATCATCAACATTATCATATTCATCCCCATTTCCAACTCCATTCCCTTCACCTGCATGTACACAGTCCTTTACATTTTGTAAAGTCCTTTCCATCTGTTACTCTTCTACTTTCCTATCTCCTTGGGATCTCCCCACATACACACCTGTCTTCCTTTTCTTCCATGTGTTGAAGGCTGCAGCACAGCTCGGTATCAGGATGACAATTGCCAGTATGCTTAGGGCCATGGCCCGAGGTCTTTTCATAGTTGGCTTCCCAGGGACTTCAGGAATAAAGGACAGCAGATAAGCAGAGGTGAGAATTTCTTTACAAGGCAATGGGGAGTGTGGTGAATGAGAGGACAAGGGGAAGAAACTCCAGGAACTGTTCTCCTTGGGATGAATTTAACTAATGTGGATGAGGTACTCACCTGGGAATATGCCTGGTGTTTCCAGTTCACTGTGCTGTACCACACAGGTGTAACCTGTCCCAGGGTCATTGAGTGGGAGCTCTAGTGTGACTTGGAGGTAGAAGGTGGAATCAGCATTGGGCAGGGTGCCACTAGAGCTCTCCTGTCCCCACACACCCAGTGCTCCATCCTTTTCCCAGTGAAGCATGATGGAGCGGGGGTAGAACCCAGTGGCCCTGCAGAAGAGGGTGGCTCTGCCATCAGGAGCATCCTGTCGGGACACGGTCACATCAGGGGGAACTGATGGCAGAGAGCAGGAGAGAAGGGGTCAAGTCCAAAGCTCTTCACCTCATCTCTACTCACTTCAGAACACCCATGACTATCTCTGGGTTCACACTTCCTAAAGCAATTTGGGTCATGACCTCACCACAACTTAGTAGACAGTTTGCTTTTGGCAATGATTAAAAAACCGAAACCAAAGCCAAAACCGTTGGCTAGTGACCAAACTTCTGGTGATGATTATCTTTGCTCTCAGCAAGGCTGGGTGACAGTGAGGGTGCTTGGGTTAGTGATTGATATTTTCCCCACACAGCAAAATCTTCTTAACCTGACTCCTAGTTTTAATGGCTTGCAGACGCCTGTATCACATCCCATCAGGAAGAACGGGACTCTTGGAGTGGGACTTTTATCACATCATGCCCCTCCTAAAAGAAGTAATAGTGCTTACCATTTCTATGCCATGGAGTTTCCCACTGAGACTTGGATAACTCCTGGGACCATAGATATTCAGTCTTCTGGTGGAAATGATGTGGACTTACTGTGAGGATATGGGGGAGGGAAGCAGGGACTCACCATTTTCTCTTATGCTTGAGTACTGCAGGACTTTCCTCAATGGCTCAACACAATCTTCCTGCATGTAGTGTTTTATCTTCTTGTAGGGAAAAATAACTTCCCAGAAGGGTCTGAAGCATTCAGCCTCAGGCTTCATCGCCACCCAGTGCTTGAGCTGCTCATCTACCCCACAGAAAGCCTCTCCATCCACAGCATACCAGAAATGGCTGCTCACATGGATGTCTCCATCTAGGTGACAGTCATGCCAGAACTGCACTGTGTGATTATCTGAGTGGAGAGGGGAAGAAAAGAGTTAATTTGAGAACAAAGCAGGTGTTTACAATTTAATGTAATCTCCACGAGGGCAGAGATGGGGTCATGTTTATTTTTATATTCTCAGTTCCTAGCAAAGTGCCTCGAACATTGATTAGGAAACGGAAAGTAAGATTCCTGTTTTACATGCCTCAGAAGGGAAGGGATTATTTTTTGGTGAACTTTGGGGTTTCGCTGTGCCTTAGGTTGAACTTTCCTGATTTTTGAGGTGATAGGAAAATTGCCTGTACCATGTGTGTTCCAATGGTTCCTGATTGGGTAGAAGGCGAGATCTTGTTAGATAAGTAGGTGCATGGACAAAATTCCACACTCAGGCATTTCAATAAGCAAGAATCCAGATTCTTTTCTGGAATTCATGGATGCCCCCAGAAAAAGGGCTGTGAACTTAGTAGCTAGGAATGCTGATCCCTAGAACTGTTTAGTGACTATAGGACAAATGGGTATTGTCTAATTATGGCTAAGCTGGCAGAAATGTTGATTTTTATTTGCATCCACTTTTCAATCCAGAAATTGTGCATTGGTGAGAAATTGTGTCCCTTATTTATGAGTGGAATATTATATTATTATTTTTATTTTGCCTTCTTCTTAGTTCATGTTTTTGATTAATACTGAAATTCATCTTAGTTGATTTGTTAAGTGAGAGGTTAGATGGGGAGCCTACAGCGTACAGTGGCAGGAGAGCATTCCTCCCACCGGCATTACTGTTAGAACTTTGAGAGTGTTCGTTGTAATGGTGATCCCCCCAATCTGCTAGAGTTTGGCTGGCTGCAGGTTAGGTGAGTGCGTTGAGAAAGGGGAGGAGAGAGACAGAGAGACACAGAGACGCAGAGACATTGACAGAGAAATGGAGACAGTGACAGAGAGACAGATAGGCAGATAGGCGAATGGACACAAAGAGAGACACCGAGATGGAAAGAGACAGAGACAAAGAGAAACAGAGAGACAGAGACAGAGAGAGATACTAGAGAGGGGAAGGTATATGCTCATAATACATAAACCCAAGTAAATGAACTTATGATTTGGAGTGTGTAGCAATACAGAATAGATGTGAAAAACAGGCAGTGAGACATGATGGCTATGGCAGGAGAAAGGGGACAAATGTTTAAGTAAAAATGGCAACAGATTTCTGGCCATAGAAATTAGGAAAGTCCTGACACTTCATGCTTTAAGTTGAAGTTCAGTGATTAAGGATGTTTAGTGAGTAACAGAAGCCCAAGGGCTGGAGGCAAGTCCTCTGGACTTGTTCCAAGACTTAGAGCTGGGGCCTTGAGAAGCTGATGTGGCTGAGTGTGTGCTGAGCCTTAAGGAAGAACTCTTCATAGTGCAGAGTTGGGGCAGACTTACCTTCACCCTTGGTATCACTCTGTATCCAATTCTGGAGGGCCCAGAGAAAGTTGATCTCACTGTACACCAACTTCTGCCGCTTCTCTTCAATGTAGTGGGCCCCCAGTGCCTGGGACACCCAGGCCTCTTTGATCACAAGCTGCTGGTCCTTTTTGTCATAGAAGCTTCCCTGCACGCCATCCATAGAGCTGACCATGGTGAAGTCCAAGAGAGACTTTGTTGTACCCACTGCTGTGAAACACATCTCAAGGCTGTGGTAAGCTAATTGTGAGAAAGGGAAGGAGGAATGATAGATTTTATGGCCCCAATATTTCTTCCCATGCTTCCCATTTTTAAGAGTGTAACTAGAGTTGAACAGGCTGGGTCCTTTTACCAGAGGACAGTGCAGATAGGGCATGGCGTGCTGCATTCTTGCCTAAAAGTATCTACCACATAACTTAGCACACAGCAGGGCCTTGTTGACTGACTGAGTCAGAGGCTGGTGATGTTAACACGTTGCCAACCATGACCTTGCTTTTTGGTATTTAAAAATGCTATTAATGTATAAACATGACTGTGAAGATCTGAGGTATTAATGTAGCCAAGCTGTGGGAGAAGAAAACAAGCAGGTGTAGGAGGATATTGCCCCAGAAAGTGTAACAATTTTTATCTACATCAGGGCTGTGGTGCAACTAATTTTTTTTTAAGCAGAGATGGCAAGGCAGCCTTCTCCATGGTTCAGGAGATTGGTCTCACAATTCTGTAGACAGAGAATGCCAGAGTGTGGGAAGAGGAAGGAAAGGAGTCCCAGAGATCTGGTGCAGTAAGAAATCCTGACTGTGGACATTTAGAGGCTCCAGGGCTGGTTTCCCTTGTGTGTGTTCTTTGTCCTCTTCGAGCTTCTAGGGAAAACAACATGAAGGTCAAGAGAACTCTGTTTTATGCATGGTATTGACTAGTGGAATGGCCTCCTAATTGGTCTCCTTGCCTCAAGTCTCTCCCCATTCCAATCCATCCTCCTCACACTTTAATGCCCTCTGCTTCACTTGGAAAAGATCTTATTACATAATGATCAAAGCAATTTCCCAAAATCATAGATCTGTCCATGCTAACTCCCTACTCCATAAACTCCAGTGGTTTCCTATTATTTCTAGGGCCAAATAAAAACTTCACAGTTTAGTATTTAAAGCACTTCACAACCGTGCCACATCTTCCCTTTCCAATCTTACTACACATTACTCCTCCACGCTCCTTTCAGCTCAACCAATCCATTCTTACCGTTCCTCCTTTGTGACACTCTGCCTCTTCCTGCCTCGTCAGTGTTTGTCCTCCGTGTTTGGAATGCTTTGTAAATCTTAAAGCACTCGATGGATACTACTATTTATAATTATTCATTAATATAGCAATTTATAATAATAACAATTATTTGCCTTAATTGGTTGTGATTCCTTTAGAATCAACCATAGCACTTACAGCCATAGCTTTGTTGAGATACTTGCAGCTGTTGGTAGCAGGGGAGATCGGGATAATTTCTTGATTTTTCTGGACTTGGGTATGTCCCATAGAGTTACACATGCATTCTGGTCCATTTACATGGGACGTATACTATGGCTTCCTCGCCAGAGGACATGCTGTGAGATGACACAGCGACTCCTCATCAGTCTGGCTACACGCCCTTTTCCTTCTCTCCCCTGTGCCTCATGGCAGTATTTTTTATCTCCCAGAATGGAGACTGATGTGCGTCAGTTAGTCCACAAGTGCCTTTATGTGCCAGGTGCTGTACTAAGTGTTAGAGATCCCCCCACCCCGGAAAAAAAGGCAAAAAACAGAACTTGCTCTCAAGGAGCTCACAGGGTAATTGGGGAAATAATTATGTACAAATAAGACAGATATGGGATAAACTGGGGATGGTCTCAGAGGAGTTTGTGTGTGTGTGGCTTGTCCTTTGTTCTCTAAGAAGACCATGACTTGCAAGCAAATTGGATTTAAGTGAGAGAAGACCATACAAAGTCACCAGCCTCCCTTTCTCCTCCAGAGCCATCTGGGTCCAGTGGCCAGATATTGATCAAGATGACTGGAGATGGCCCAGCTCCTGTTTTAGGAGAATAGGTCTCACTTTTTCACCCAGTCTGGATGGCAATAAGGGTAAGGAGGGTTGGAAAGGCTTCTTGTAGACAATGAGACTTCAACAGAGAATGTGATGGGCACTTACTTTTGCCAATGCATGAGAAGCTTCCAGAAGACAGAGGACAGGGTGATCAGAGGATCTGTGGGAGGTGGGAATTGTATGTCTCTGGCTAGGAGTTTCCTGAGGCCAGAAACTTCAGACTCAGAGCTCTACTCAGCTAAGTCTCAATGAGTATGTAGGATGAATCCAATGAATTAGTTCTCTCCTTTAGATTTGCACTGAATATTTCCAATAGGCTGGAGCCAATGACCATATTTTCAACTGCAATTTTGAATAGTGTGAACTGGAATATACACAACTACATTATTTAGACTAGTGAGGCTCTCAACTTCCCACCCCTGTATTCCCATCCTACCCTCTGACTCACCTGCCTCAGTATCCCTTAGAACAATCACTCCCACAATTAGCAGCCAGGATGAGAATGATTCTCTCTTTGTCTTCTGACTCTCCATCTTTATCTATAGGTAGGGCCTTAGTTTCTTCAACAGAATCCTTTTTGGGCAAAGCTCTTCCCTGAGCAAGTATACTCTCCTATGCCCAAATGGGAAATGAGCCTTCCTAAGCTTTATCCCCACCCTTGCTGGTGACTGCTCTGCAGAGGTCCTGCCCTCCTCTCATTGCCAGCTGGGACATTTGTCTCTAGGCAGTATCTGTTCCTGCCTGGGAGCCATTAGAACAGAAGCAAAATGGAGTTTGTGGTGAGGGCAGGAAACCCCAGAGGTAACAATCATCAGGTGTTGCTGGGAGGTCCACAGTTGGGACTGGTTTAGTGCCAGTAGTTGTCATTCTTTTAAAAAATAATTTAAAAAATTATGTAGTTTTTTTATTATTTTTTTTCCATATGCTTTTGAGTTGAAAATTTTTTCTCCCTTTTTCTCCCCCCCCACCCTCCCCAAGATGGTACACAGTCTGACATAGGCTTTACATTTACATGCCCATTAAACATATTTTCACATTAGTGAAGTTGTAAGTAAAAATTAAAACCAATAGGAGGAACCATCAGAAAGATGAAACAAAACTCAACTGAAGATAAAAATAAGTGAGAGCGATTCGACTTCCATAGTTCTTTGTAGTTCTTTCTTTGGATGTGGACAGCATTTTCCATCCCGAGGCCTCTGGAGATGTCTTAGACCCTCGTAATGCTGAGAAGGGTTCAGTTTAACATTCTTAGTCATTGCATAACGTGGCTGCTATTGTATACAAAGTCCTCTTGGTTCTGCTCACTTCACTCAGCATCAGACCATATAAGTCTTCCCAGGTTTTTCTGAAGTCAGCCTGTTCATCATTTCTTATAGCACAACAGTATTCCATTACATTCATATACCACAACTTGCTCATCCATTCCCCAATTGATGGGCATCCTCTCAATTTCCAATTCTTTGCCACCACAAAAAGAGCTGCTATGAATATTTTTGTACATGTGGGTTAGTTTTGTTTTTTTTTTAAAGCATGCTTCAGGCTATATTCAAAAATATCATTTCCTTCTCTGGAGGTGGATAGTATGCTTCATCTTGAATCCTTTGGGATTGTCTTGGATCATTGTTTTGCTGAGAATAGCTAAGTCACTCACAATTCTTCATTGAATGATATTGCTGTTACTGTATACAATGTTCTCCTGGTTCTATTTACTTCACTATTGCCAACCTCAGAATTTGGTCTAAGAAAGACAAATAAAATTAGGTTGCTTGCATGTTTATTTCTCTCAAAGCAGGCAAAGCATGCATGTGGAGCTGCAGTCAAAAGCTGATCTCCTTTTGGGGTTGGGGTACACAGTTTTTATACCCTTCCAACAGGAGCTGATGTCACTCCATCATCATTTCACCTCTGGACAGAGGAAATACCTCTTCTATCAGACCCCTGCCCCCTATTTGGGCTATCTAGATAGAAGAATTTGTTTTCACCCAAGCTTGAATAGAACAATGGATTTTCTACTTTAGATTAAATCCATTTGAGCTTGGGTAGGGGTTCTCGGGTGGGGACTTATCAGGATGTAGAGAATTGTGCAATCACGTTATTAGTGATGTTCTTTTGGAGGGATTTCTGGGTTCAGCAAACAAACTGCTAGGATCTCAGGCATGAGCTTGAAGGATGCTCAGTTTGCCTCCTGATTAGCTGATCCGGATTCCCAGGTCAGTTTGGCCTCCTCTGGATAGTAAGGAAGCTCAAACAGAACAAGGTGGTTGGTAAGGTCATTAATCATTCTTCACAATTTTCATAATTTTTACACTATGCATCAGTTCATGTAAGTCTTTCCAGATTTTTCTGAAATTATCCTGCTTGTCATTTCTCATAGCACAATAATATTGCATTACATTCACATACCACAACTTGTTCAGCCATTCCCCAGTTGATGGGCATTCCTTCAATTTCCAAATCAAAAAGAGCTGCTATGAATATTTTTGTACAAATAGTCTCTTTTCCATTTTTTGGGATGTTTTTGGGATACAGAACTAGCAGTGGTATTGATGGATCAAAGCGTATGCACAGCTTCACAACCCTTTGGGCATAGTTCCAAATTGCTCTGCAGAATGATTGGATCAGTTCACAACTCCATCAACAATGCATTAGTGTCCCAGCTTTCTCATATCCCTTCAACATTTATTGTTTTCCTTTTCTATTGTATTAGCTAATCTGATAGGTGTAAGGTGGTATTTCAGAAGTGTTTTAAGTTGCATTTCTCAAATCAATAGTGATTTAGAGCAGTTTTTTCCATATACCTATAGATAGCTTTGATTTCTTTGTGCTAAAACTGCCTGTTCTTATCCTTTGACCATTTATCAATTGGGGAATGACATGTATTCTTATAAATTTGACTTCATTCTCTATATATTTTAGAAATGAGGCCTTTATCAGAGATAGTTGTTGCAAAAATTTCCCCCAGTTTTCTGCTTTCCTTATAATTTTGGTTGCATTGGTTTTGTTTGTGCAAAAATTTTTAAATTTTATATAATCAAAATTATCTATTTTATACTTTGAAACGCTCTCTATATTTTCCTTGGTCCTAAATTCTTCCCTTATCCGTAAATTTGACAGATAAACTATGCTCTCTTAATTCGCTTATGGTATCACTCTTTAGGTGTAAATCATGTACCCAATTTGACCTTATCTTGGTACACCATGTGAGATGTTGGTCTATACCTAGCTTTTGCCATAACATTTTCCAGTTTGCCCAGCAGTTTTTGAGGGGCGAGCTTTCTAGTACTCTTGCTCAGGAGCCCCCAACAATGTGTTTCTTATTGATGATGGCTAGTCAGACTTAATTAGTTTTTTATCAAAGGTATTTTATAAAATGGTATAATAACAAAAGCAGTTAGAGAGCATTTTCCCAAACTGAGGAAACTCTCATCATGTACACGCAAAGTGCCTAAATGGACTTGATTCAGAC